TCTCGTGAAAAATGAACAACTTTAAGGGAAAAATATTCTTATTTTGTTTGTAAAAATTGTTGAAATTAATTTTACCCACCATTTTGAGGAAATTTTTCATATTTTGGCCACCAGATGCTAGCTTCTAGATCCATCATTGCAAGCCATATTTAGAGAAATCTAATGCCAAAAACCAATTGTAACCCAACATGACTTAAAGCAAGAGTAAAAGGACGCCACCAAAAATTCAATGAGGAAGCTTCCAAATCCCAATCATCCTCATTATAGAGATCGGATCACAGGCTTGCAAAATCAAATCCACATGGTGAACTCACCAACCACAAAGCATTTCATCCCAGATCTAGATAAAATTGCAATATTTGATGAGTTTAAATCAAACGTACCTCCATTACAACCTAGGAAATCCAAATCTGAGTGATTCACCTTCAGATTGCAATTTGAAAAGATGATCCATCACCATCCACACACATATTGACCCAACAACACACACACCTTCCTCAAACCCACTCAGGTAGAGAACACAGGAGAGAGAGTAATTGATCAACTGACCACAAACGCAGGCCAAGCAACAAGCTCTTTTACAAAAAGAGAGAAATAAAGGGGACTCTGCTCTCAGCAACACATACAATTGATCTGATACTAATTTTTTTTCTAGAGAATCTCATCAAAAACTTGTAAATAAACTGCTATAAGAAATGTGTGCCTTTATACGTGCAAGTATGTTCGTTCATGTCTTTTTTTTTTTTATTGTAAGAAACAAAGATACAAAAAGAAACCTAATTAAGAGAAACAAGATCAACTAGTCTAGGAGAGTAAGCACTTAGAAAAGACCTATTCCAAGCACCTAAAGCTGAAGAAGGTAAAAGTTCAAAGAAAACATTACTAAAATAATACAGGAGACTATTAATATCATGACCCATAATTTTTAGAGCAGCATCCTTATCGGCAGATTGTATGAAAAATTTGGCTTGTCTTTTCTTAATAAAAAACATTGTAACATCAGAGAATCCAGGAGCTCCAAATTCTTCCAAGTCAGTGATCCATTTAATGTAGTTCCTGATAATCTTCATAAGACATCATTTGCAGCTTCAGCAGGTTGTCATCTCTTCGCTTAATGACCAATTGAAAATCATGAAAGATTATAACTTGAGCATAGCAAGATATCTGCCTGGTTCTACTCTTAATTCTCTGGATGCCTACAAACAAAAACCATCCTTTTCTGGCTTTTGCATGTGATATTTCCCATTCCTTCTTCATTTCTTGCACAACATTAGAATGAGAAATCTGCATTGAAAAAGCCAAGTCACAGGTTGATAACAGCCAGTGAATTTTATGGATTATCTGTGTAGGATTACAGCTTTTGTTTTGGTGTTTCATCAAATTTCCACTATCCCAGATAACCTGCAAAGTTATAAAAATCATCTTGACCACATGAATCCAATCTTTGCAAGAAATTGCTTTACGACACCAATATAAAATGAACTCTGTGCAGTCATGAATCACATCAGTTCTAAGAGCAAGATCAAGATCAAGACCAAACCAAATAGCCCGAGCACAACGACAATGGAGAAAAACATGATAAAGAGACTCCCCTTCTTCATTGCAAAAAGAACAGATTCCAAAGCTATTGATATGATGTTCCATTAAGATATCTGAAGTAGGTAAAGCATGATTTAGAATTTTCCAGCCCAGGAGAATAGTTCTTTAAGGAAGCTGCAACTTCCATATAAAATTCCAAACCAAATGGCTATGGTTGATATCCCTAGAAGCATCATTGATCATTTGAAATCCTTTTTTGACTTTGCATTCTCTGGAGGTACTGCCTATCCAAATTAATCGATCTTCCTCATCAAAAATGGAAAAAGGAGTAGAAAGGATCTCCCGTGCATGCTATGGGTTAAAGCAAGAATTAATAAGCTGCACATTCCGATTGCAACTATCATGTAGCCTAAGGTCTAACACCTTCAAGTTTAAGCATTTTTTATCTTCATGAACCAGGAACCACTTAATATGATCAAAGGGAATGGACTTTCCTGAGCCAACCTGCCATTTCAGGTTGCTAGACACGACAGGAGAAGCTTTGACCACATCCTTCATCATCCAAGAGAAAGTCAGTTTAAGTTCCTTTTCCCCTTTTATCAGAGTTTCTAAGTATTTCCTTTTGAGGGTTGAACCAATCAAAGAAGAATCATTTGCTGATATTATCCTCCATGATTGTTTTGCAAGAAGTGCCAAGTTGAAAATATAAAAAGATCTAAATCCTAGGCCTCCCTCCTTCTTGTTCTTGCAAAGTTTTTTCCAGGCTTTCAAATGTAGCTTTCTTTTATCATTTTCAGTAGCACCCCAGAAAAAATTAGCACATTTTGAATCAAGCTTACCCGTAATTTCCTTTGTTAGAAAAAAGCAAGACAATTGATAAATGCATATAGAAGACACAACTGATTTGATTAAGGTCATTCTACCAGCTTGGGATAGCAGCTGAGACTTCCATAGACTAAGTTTTCAGTCAAAAGCATTGATAAGAAAATGATATATAGAATTCCTCCTAGACGCAGCATCAATAAATATTCCCAAGTATTTCCCAATATTATCTTAACATCTCACTCCTAGAGCATCTATAATTTCTTCTTTTAGCAGAGGGCAAGTATTTGGACTCAATAGAAGCTTGAATTTTGAAAAATTTATTTCTTGGCCTGAATGATGACAGAAAATATTCAGAACCTCCTTAACAACTTGAGTATTACTTTTATTTCCTTGAAAGAAGAGTATTGTGTCATCTGCATATGCCAAATGCGACACTGGATCCGCCTTTCTAGAAATCTTGATGCCCTTCCAAGAACCAATTCTTTCCTTCTCTACTATCATACAAGACAGAACATTTGAACATAATATGAACAAATAGGGAGATAATGGATCTCCCCACCTTATTCCTCTAAAAGGCTTGAAGCTTGCTGTCAAATTTCCATTCACCAAGATCTAATAAGAGACTGTAGATAAGCATTGAGAAATCATCATAATCCAATCACAAGGAAAGTTCATGATGAGCATAATTTGTTGCAGGAAATTCCAATCAACTCTATCAAATGCTTTGGAAAAATCAATTTTGAGTGCAGCCCAACAATTTTGAGTTCTCCTTGTTTTCTTCAAATAGTGAATGATGTCTGCTGTCAAGAGAATGTTATCTGAGATGAGCCTCCCTTTGATGAATGCACTTTGATGTGGAAGAATCAAATCCGAGAGAATAAGCCTTAATCTGTTAGCAAGTACTTTTGAAACTATTTTAGTGCGTTCATGCTTGTGTGTGGGGGTAAGAGGAGAGAAAGAGTTGTTTAGGTTGAGGACTTTTGATAATGATTATTAATTATGGAGTGAAAGATAGTTTAAATTTTCAAATATAAATTGCATATAGTCAGATACATTGTATATAATCAAATACATTAATTGTATATTTGAAAAATAAATCACATTTGCTTCCTCAGAAGAGGCATACCTAACCACAAACTAATCTTCACATACATACAAAGATACATGTACACGAACATAACCCAGTATCTAATTGCCCCATTCCTTTTGTTGAGTGTCTGCGGATACGATTATATAAGGAATTGATAGTAGTTATGGAATGTTAGAGAATGAAGAAGTTTTTTTTTCCCCCAAAAAAATCTTAACCAAAAGTTTTGGAAAAAAAGGCTTTATACAAGGTAAAAAAAAAAGTTAATCATGCACGGTTGAATTGTATTATTACAAGCTCTTTCATTTTCTTTTGAAATATATGTGGACAAGAACAATAATTTTCATTTCTATTTCTCTCCTATTATTGTTGTCTCGCTTCATTCTTTTACTTATAAAATATTCACTATACAAACTTAATAAAAACAACTAATTTATATACATTGGAAAAACCAAACTCTAACTAAAAAAGTTGTGCATGTCCAGTGCATAGATGCAAATATACAATGCAATCCGCTAGTCTTTGATGATTGGGGGACCATCTCAAAGTCTTTTACACAAATATGAAATAAAGTGAATTAGAAAACTCTAGCCTACTTTGTTTCTACTCTCTAAAATTTTCCTTTTCTCTTATTATTTTCCTATAATAGATTAATAATTTATTGTTATTTAACGACTTTCGTTCTCCCCTCATTACTTTATCACTAAAATATTTTTTAACAATATTTTCCTCCCTTAAATACAGGGATGTTAATGAAAGATTTACATATATTTTTGGCCAAACTTTGAAACATATTTTTTGTAAATAAATCTTGTTAATTATGTTATTCCATTATTACTACTAATAAATCTTTGGCATCCACTAACACTCAAAATATGAAAAATAAAAAAATTAGGTGCATTGTATATTACCAAATACATTGTATATTTGAAAAATAAATCTGTTTCACTTCTATGATTAAAAATCATTCTCAAAAAAGGCACACGTAACCCTAAACTGATCTTCACATACAATGATACATGTATATACCTTTCTTCTAGGATGTTATTCGCAAATCATTGATCAAATTCACTAAATAGAAGAGGGTATTAAATAATTTGACTTATTTGTAAAAGTTTGAGTCTCTTTTTCGTTCTCACCTTTTGTGAGAGTGTGTGTTCCTTAGCATTTGTTTGTGGTTTTCATCAACCATCTTATTGGTGCTCATCGGGTAAATGAATTTGAGGTACAATTGTGTATTTGTATTGCTAAATGTACAACGGGTGTCTTGGATTTGGTCACAAGTGATTTTTTTTTTTTATGGCTCTTCATTGAGCCAATTACTGGATTATCTTCACATCTTCACCATTAAAATAATATAATCTTTTAATTGTTAGTGTATTATTCAATTGGATATGGTCTCATTATTATAATTTTAAAATGAAAAGAAATAATCTCACAACATAACTTTTGTTTTAAATGATTTGCCATTTTCAAAAACTATACACAACTTGAGGAACAAATTAAAACTTGACAATCCCATGTGAGATGGAAATACACATAATTTATTGTTACATATGATTTTTTTTTTTTTTTTAGGGAAGTTAAAGTCAGACATGTGAGAATTCAAATGTCAAATAGCACAATTACATTAATGCTCTTGGTTTCGTCTCCACCTCTCCTCATCGAACAGCTGATAAAGTAGACATTTTAACCATTAGAAAATGTCAAAAGAAACAAAAAATACTTAATAATAAACCTATGTTACTCAATTACTCTATGCTTGAATTTATATATGCGTGTGTGTGTGTGTGAAAATGAATATATGATGTCAAATAACCATTGATATACCTTTGGTATGTCGTTGATTTTGGTGAGCAAAGATTAACTAGTGAAAATGAAGATTCAATATAGTATCTAGATTGTCTCAATCTTTATCTCTAACATAAACTTTATTAAGCTTCACGATCTCAGCATACATTGTCACAAACATCAAAATATTCCAATTTATGCTCCTTTATCCATTCATCAAATTTACATGATATTAGTGTTGACAAGATGAAGACCAAAACATGTAGTTCACAAAAAATGACCATGTAATGTGGAAAAGATCATAACTACAAAAATTTATATCAAATACAAATGATCAGCCAAGGGTAAAACTTATTTAAGTTCTATCTTCCTTGGGCCATTATAAGTTAATTCAGCCTTTAAATTGTGTTTCATGACAAGTGACATGTAGTTCCACAGTTACTTCTTTAGAATTGCTCCGATCCTTTTATAAGTTATACTAACATGTATAGCTCTAGAAATAAATAATTTAAAAACAAAACCTGGGTTTGTAAAACACAAAAATAGTATTCCTTTGGCAATTGCATGAGATGCAGTTGCCAGCACTCTTATTGAGAGCTCTCCATTTACACCTATAGAATAAAGCATGTAAGGCACACAAATCATAATCACTAGACCAAAAAAACCAAAGCAAGCAAAATAAAAAGGCTATGTTCTTATCCCTATCAGATAGGAAAAGGAAATGTACTTTTTAACTTTTCTTTGGAATATAAATGCACTTCTAACAACCAACGTTTTAGAATTAACAAAAATAACATCAAGTGGAAAGCAAGCTATTCCTTGGTTGCCATTAAAATAAGCAATCAGTAAGGAGCTCATGATGGATGAAATAAAAAAACAAAATCATGTAGAGTTCCTTCAATATGATCTCGCAAGATGCAAGAAACAATCCAATTAATGATTATAGAGAAATGTTAAATTCAATAAATTACAATTGTTACTGTTTCAATTCAAAATATTTATGCTAAAACAATAGTATTGACCATTAAAATTATAATCAATCATAGTTGCAAAGTCTACATTCTTTGATATGATTTCATAGCTTCAAAACAAAATTTTATATAACCATAATCAATCAACAAATGATGAACCAATTAAAGGACTGAGTTCAAAGTTAGAGAGAGAGAGATGAAGAAATAGTCATAATGGTTAATGTGAAGATAGTAATGGAAGACCCTTTGTTTAGCTTTAAAAAATACGTTTGTAGGTATTTTTATTTCTTGAACTTGATAAAAAAAATTAAAGCTTAAAAACAATGCCAATGCTTAGTGCTAAAGGAGCTTACCATGCAATATCATTGAGAAACATAATGTAGCAGCATGAACTTCCCAGTGCTAGGAAATTAATTGGATGCTTTGCTTGTTCCTCTTTTGCTCGTCTGAGTCCATTGCCGCTTTGGTCTTCAACAAAAGGGAAGTTAATTAGGTTTTATAAATTTATTTTGTTAAAGAATAATCAGTTTAATATGACCACAAAACAATATCAAATGATCTTAATTTGTTGTTTGTGCTTATAGCATAGAAATGATTTATCTAATTAGCTTACACGATAGTGAAATATTATGTCATCTAGAATTATTTGCAGATAAGAATCAAGAGATGTTATAAAGGTTTAACCATATGATTAGATATATATATATATATATATATATACACTGAATTAAAATAGACATTAATGTACCTTTGGTATGTCATTGATTTGATAGGCTTAGATCAACCCGCGCCATAATACTGAATGATATTTTTACCCTATAACTTCATCATCGTATGCTTTGTCAAACTTCATGGTTAATAATGAGAGGGAAAACAAATATCCACACAGCAATTGGTTTTCCCCCCTTAAATCAAGCCAACTAGAAATGAAGAAAAAACACTAAACAAGTACAAAGATTAATGCACAAACAAGACAAAACCCTTCCCAACCAAATCAGAAAAACATTAAGTGAAAAGCCAACAACTTTAAGAGAAAGTATTTTTTTAAAAAAAAATTGTTGAAATAACAATTCATCCCTTCACTTTCGTGAAAATTTTTATTTTTGGGCCCCAAATACTAGCTTCTAGATCAATCATTGTAAGCCAATAAACAAAAAACCTAAGACCAGAAATCGATAATGACCCAAAATGACTTGAAGCAAAGAGCAAAAGGACACCACCAAAATTTCAAAGAGGAAACTTCCAGATCCCAACCATCATCTCCATAGAGATCAAATCACGAGCTTGCAGAATCAAATCCACTCCATGAACTTGTCAACCACGAAGCATTTCATACCAGATCTAAATAAAATTACAATGTTTGATGAGTTTAAGTGAAACATACCTGCATGGCAACTCAAGGAAGCCAGATCTCAGTGATTCACCTTTAGATTGCAAATTGAAGAGATAATCCATCACCATCCAAACACTCTCATTGACTGGAAAACACACGCGCCTACCTCAAACCCTCTCACGTTGAGAACATAGGGGAGAGAGAAACCCGATCCATCGGTCACAAACACAAGACAAAAAAAAAAAATTTCTCTTACAAAACAAGAGAAATAAAAGGGAACCCAGCCCCCTGCCCCACATATAATTGATTTAATATTATCTTTTCTCAAGAGAATTTTATCAATAACTTATAAATAAATTGCTACAAGAAATGTGTGCGTCTGCACGTGTGATCGTGTGTGAATGTGTGATTGTATGTTTGTGTGAGTGGGTGTGGGAGAGGAAGAGAGAATAAGTTTAGGTTTAGGTCTTTTTATAATGATTAATTATTAATTATGGAATAGCATTTAAATTTTTAAATATATAGTGTATCTAATTGCTTATTTCCTTACGTTGATGAGTGTCTGCCAATACCAATGTATAAGGAATTATGAAGAGTTAGGGAATGTCAAACAATGAAAAAGATTTTACCAAAAATTTTGAAAAAAATCAATTTATATATTGCACATTAATTAGAATTGGATATATTATTTACATGTTATTTCCTTCTGCAAAATATATACACAAACAAGAACAATAATTTTCATTTCTATTTCTCTCCTATTATTGTTGCCTCACTTCATTTTTTTTTACATCTAAAACATTCAATATAAAAACTTAATAAAAATAATTAATTTATATACATTGAAAAGAAAATTAACTAACAATTATTTTTGAATGTATAGCAAATTAAATGCATCAATGAATTCTTGATTTTGGTAAATTCATGAATATCATTATGTTAGTATAGATATAATGTAAAACATGTGTTAGTTTTTTTTTAATGATTGGAGGATAATCTCAAAGTCTTTTACACATACATGGATGAAAGTGAATTAGAAAAATACTCTAGCCTACTCTGTTACTCCTCTCTAAAATTTACCCTTTTCGTTATTGTTTTGTTTATATTTCCATTAATTTTAGGATTTGCAGTTATCTAATTAATTTCTTTATCACTTCATTACTTTATAGCTAAAATACTTTTTAATAAAGGTTTTCCTCTCTTAAATACAGGATTTCAATGAAAGATTTTCATATATTTTTTGTCAATTTTTTTTTTGTAACTAAATCTTCTTAAATATTTTTTCCATAACTACTCATAATTCTTAGGCATCCACTAACACTCAACATATGAAAAGGAAAAAGATTAGATACATTGAATATAGTCAGAAACATTGTATATTTGGAGATTAAATTTATTTTTCTATGATTAAAAATCAATCTTAAAAGAGTTACACATAATCCTAAACTGATCTTCACTTAAAAGATACATATATACACCTTTCTTGTTGAAGGTTATTTGCGGAATCCTAATTCATGAGCCATTATTCGACAATGGAAGCTATCTTAGATTCCATAGAGACAATAAGGACTTAAAACTTTAACTCAAACCAATATTGCTTTAACTTGATATTTCCAGAAATTCATGCTAAGTTTAAGAATCCATACCTTTTTTTGAAAATTCAGATTCAAATTGAGCTCATTCTTGTCTCCTTTTGAAGTTAAAGTAGTCCTTTAGATAGGAAAAATATTAAAATAAAGTTTGACTGCGCTACTTAATATATACAACTCAATTGTTAATCCAATTTTCCTTTTTTTTTTTTTTACGACAACGGAAAACTAAAAAACACAAAGCATCCAGTTTTCCTAATTTCTTGCCTGAAACTAGAAAATTCATATATTGGACCATACTTATGGAAATACTAGGGCTTGTTATAAAGCCCTAGGGTGTGCTTGATTTATAAGAGAAAAATATTTCACATGATTTTTGCTTCTCCAATTACTGAAGTTTAATAAATATTTAAAACTTCTTAGTTCTCAATCACACTAGAGTCAGACTTCTGTGTCCTAATTTGTGGAATTTATAACTGAAATTACAGGAGTCCAATTGATGTGATTACAGACTTTTTTTTGGAATTTTGAAATTATCTAACTGTGAAAAATATGAAACACATGACCTTATTTTTCCCCATTGATATATTTTAATTAACAAATAAGACTGTCTTGTCTGAGCCTTGCACTCATAGATCCAGATTTTATGGACAAACTTGAAAATTTCTTAAATAAGGAATTTAGTTAATGCGATCTAGATTTTGTTTGAAAGATTATGGTGAGTTTGAATTAATAGGAATTCAAATTTGAACCTCATTTGGATGCACAAAAAATGTATGAGTTTAGATCTAATTCAAATCTATATCCATTTCTTATTACAATTCTTTTATAATTTCAAATCTTTCTATATTCTAATTACTTAAAATTTTAATCACTTCAAATATTCCGTTCTTTTCATGTTTTTACTATTGAAATATCTATAACTCTCATATCTTTTCTTATCTTTCATCTACAAAAAAATAGAGATAAATTCATTATTCCCAATTTTTTATTTTATTGTTTTGAATCTCAACTTATATCTATTCTTTGTTTGAAATTTTTTAAACTATCCAAATAAAAAATTTTAAATACATGAATTTTAAATGTGATATTTAACTTGAAATGCAAGATTTTAATTTTAAAATTCAAATTCATCAATTCAAATGTTACCTTACAGCATTTCTCTTAACTTTCATTTATCTTGAGTTCTTTTTGGAGCAATCTTTTAATCCCTGTCCAATTAGAAAACATAAGTTAGTAGTCCAAACTTCTTTCTAGGTTATAGTAAATAAGGTAATTATATAATTTCCAACAACATAAAAATTGGGAGAAATTACATATAAGTCTCGTAGAACAAATTTATTTATAAATAAGGCTCATAAAATTTAAAAACTACAGCTAGGTCCCTTAGGACATAAGTGTAATTTGAAATTGAGATGTAAAGACAATAATGGCCTTACTAATAATACATTACATTAATCAAGTAATTTACAACTACTTTATTAATAATTTACAACTATTACTTCAACTTTTTACAATTATAGCTTTGCATATCTAATAGTTAAACTGATTATGTGTTATAAGTTTAATAGTAATTGCATACAATTATTTTATCAGTAATTTATAACTATCACTTCAACATTTTACAAATATAACTTCTTATATCTAATAGTTAAACCAATCATGTATTACTAACAAAGTTTAATACTAATTGTTTATAAATACTTCATTAATAATTTATAACAATCACATCAATATTTTACAATTGTAACTTCATATATCTAATAGTCAATCTGATCATGTGTTACTAACAAAGTTTAACACTATTTATTTATAACTACTTATAACTATAATTTTAATTTTTTACAACTGAAACTTTACATATCTAATAAGTAAAGATTGTATTGTTTTTGCACCCTAATTTCAAATTATAATTAGGTCCTAAGGAACTTGAATATAGTTTCTAAATTTTGTGAGATTTATTTATAAATAAGTCTAATCCATGGACTTATACATAACTTTTCCTTTTAATATGCATTGTTCCCTAATTTATAATAAATAACAAGAGAATAATGTTATTTTTTTCTCTTTTGAAAAGTCCAAAATTCTATATTAACCACTCAAGTGATTATCTGATCACCATTACTAGTAACAACACCTGTAAATAACTAAAAATATTATATTTATTTTAATAATATCTAATTGAGATATTAATAATTTAATATATAATAATTTAAATATTAATTATTATTTACAAATCTTCACACACAAATAACAAGTTAACTTTTGATATTTACTATTTCTTCAAAAATTACAACTTAACTCATGTATTTGTAAATTACAAGTGGATGCAATTTTTTACAAATATAATAGTTGATTTGTTAAAAAAACATTCATCTATAAATCTAGGATACATTAATTTAGCTATTAATTTTTAAAATAAGAACCAAAAAGTTTGGAGAATATTTATAAATAATAATAATTATATTCAAACTATTAAATATTAAAGTATTAATATTTCATAAGATATTATTAACATAAACATATTATTTTTAATTACTTACTAGTGTTAGTGTCAATAATAGTGATCCGATAATCACAAAGGTCAAAATTGACTTCACTTTTTATATGTAAACGAAATAATATTTGTCTCTTATTATTTATATATAATTCAAATAATTTAATCGGCATTATTATTTTTTTTTTTTTACGATACTCATTTGTAATTTTCTTACATGTGTTTGGCAGAAGCTACAGCAGCACTTGAGAACCTATATGAAGAACATGACGAAATGCAAAAGAAGCTTTATATACTAGGCTAAATTTTGAATAAGGAGAGACAACACATTGAGGTGCTAATAGAACAAAATCAGCACATTGATGTGCATCTCACATGAGAGAGAGAGAGCAATTATCAGCAACTCAAAGTGAAGCTTAATATAGAACAATAAAACAATCAGCAACTGAATATGCATTGTGACTTTAAGAAGCTCAACAACATTATAGATGTGCTTCAGAATTAATTAAACATAACAAAAGCTAATGAAACTTCATCATCAACTGCATTTGTCCCTAGGAGCGTGAGAACAATAATTCAATATGTAGTTCAATGCTATCCAAACCACTTTTTTAAATTATACTTTCTTTTATTTTATTATTACAGTTTTAATTTTTTCAGCTCCCCTATTGCTTTTACTCAATTTCAAGCCTTGCATAAGCTCCAGCCATGCAAATTTTGGAAATAAGGTGCAACATGTCCTACTAGACCTAATTGCTGCTTTGCCCCGTGGGGTTGAAGAATTGAACAGTGTCCAAAAATAGATGAGCCATGCAAATTTAGTGCCAGTTACAAAGGGACTTTGTTTTTGTAGACAAGATTAGATTGTAATTGAAAATTTTCCAATTTTTGTTTATTGTTGAAATTTTTAGCACAAAATTAAAAAATATAATTGATATATTGGAGGAGAGAGGGTGTCTGACGCACCTCGTCTACTGCCTCCCTTGATGCGCCCAATCTCAACCGTTCATTCGATCCACTGGCTAGAAACATTTCATTAATTAAAAAGACGTGTTTTGTTCATTAAATTAGATTCTAGGCCAATGTTAACTCATTTTAATTGTATGTTGAAAAATTATGAAAAATATATTGAAAATATTACTAAATAAATTGTATTTTAATGAAGGATATTTTAGTAAAAAAAATTAAATAGAATGTGACCATACTTGTCAACTGTATCACGAAATCTAACGCTAGGTGAGTTCACATATTCATACGCAATTTATCCATCCCAAACTCTAAAAAGACCAACAATTATAATCATTTTTCTTATGTAGGCTGAGTTATATTTTTAATCATCTAATTTTATATAAAGGTTCAGCTTGGTCCTTTAATTTTGTAAAATATTTTCTAGTCATCTAAACATAACAATGTTAGTTTCAAATAATTATTTTTTGTACTAATTATTAATATTTTAAAAAATTAAATTGAACATGTTAACATTTGACAATGTTTTGTCAATCTTTAAGAGTTTAATATAGGAATTTTTGTTAATGAAACTATGTTATAGTTAAAAAAACTGTCAAGATATTTTATAAAATTAAGAGATCAAAATAAAACCTTATGTAAAGTTAAATAACTAAAATATTAGGGTTACTTTATAGTAATTTATAAACATTGAGTTAATTAGGTCAACATTTTTGGACACTATTAATTGGATCAATTTATTTCTTAATAATAATATTAGCTTTTTACATGTTAACTAATGAATGTAGTATATTCTGGTATCAATTAACAATTAGTTAACACTAACACGTTTAATATGCTAATTAATAATTAATAATTAATGTATATTAAATTTTTTATCATTATATAATTTTATACATTATTTATTCCATGTGTTTACAATAAGCCATTACAAGTCATGACATATTAATAGTATAAACTTATTATAAATTTCATATTTATTTGTCTTTTTTTCAGATGATTTTAAATAATATATATTTCATTCAGTGCTATATATAAAACCTTTTTGAAATTAAATTTTAATTTAATTCTTTACATGAGTAGCCATTCATATTTGATCTACTGCATTAAATCTTTTCATTAATAAAATACCCTTATTTAATGTTCAAACTTAAAGCTATTAAAAAAATCATTAATTAGTTGAGATATCATCATTGCTGAAGAAGCATGTCATTATTTGAAGATTAAAAAAGCAGTTGAGAAGTACGAATTGATTGTCAAAATAAATACTCTTGATCATATTTATAAGTCACTTTTAACATGTTTAACCAAAATCAAAGAAAATATTAAAAACTCATTAACTCTATCTAAAAATTTAATAATTTCTCCACTTTTTCCCTATTAAATTAAATATATAGTATACTTTAATAATATATTTTTTTCTCTAACATTTAATAAATATAAAATGGGAAAATTTGCAATGAAAATTTAATAAGGTGACTTATAAATGGAACAAAAAAAATTCTTCTTTCTCTACCCTATAAATAGGACCGAAGAGAACATGAACAAAGCTTATGATTGAGAGATAATGATCCAAGCCATCGTTAATGCTATTCCCATCTTCCCAATGTCCTCCTTCAGATTTTGAAAATAGCTGTGCAAAGATTTAGATGGGCTGGTAGCCAACTTCTAATTTTCTGGGAATTAAACAACGAAGGTGGGGGAGGAAGGAATCTATTTGCGTGCTAGAAGTTATCTCCACCAGCCAAAAACAGAAGGTGTCATGGAATCCTATAGAAGGCTTTAATTTGTAGATATACATATACTCTTTTGGTCTTATTTATAGGATAGGAAGGAAAAATTAATTTCAGTTCTATTCATAGGACATTTCACTATTTTCTATGTTCATCTTTGCCTTTTTACCTTTATTAAATGCTAAAAAAAATTTTAAAAACTATTCTTTTTTTCCTTATAAGGGGAAGAGGTGGAAACTTATTAAAGTTTTAGAAAAATTTAATAAGGTTTAAGGTTTTACTTAATTTCAATGAAATATGTTAGAAGTGACTTACAAATAAGACCAAAAAAAAGTAATCATTAATTCATTCATTTGTCATCATCATTATTAATAAGAATTATAAAAAAATCTAATTTCCTATAGTAGCAGATTGTATTAATTGGTCATTTAACATTTAATTTTTATGTGTTCAAGATTACAATTTACAAACTGATACAAAAATAAGGGAAAATCTTATATACTTAGTCTTGTATACTTAAGGTATTTTTTTTCCAATTAAATCAATACATGTTGTTTTACTAGCAACAAAGGATCTTTTTCTTTATAAAATATGCTTCCTCCCATTAGAGTCACTGAGTCATCAATATGAGGGTCTTACTATCCTTTTAAGCCATGTATTTTTCTAGGGTTATAGGTTTAAAAAATTAGGAGATTTTGGTATAAAAGAGTTTTTAGGCCCCCTATAAAAATAGGCTCAAGCTTGTGCTTATTGCCCGTTTTTGTAACTTTATTTATATAATTTACTTAAAATTTTGAATTACTATATGATAATAGCACAATTTGTTAAATGTTTATTTTAGGTGACAATGATGAAGTTGGTGAGTTTGTTGAAATAGCACCGCCTCTCCTGTGAATCTCTCTTTGAAGGATGTAATATTTTATTTTTAAATGAAGATTGATGATAACAAGGAACGAAGTTTTACATTTTAGATAATAGACAATTTATGGACTTGTATTGTTTATATAAATTATATTTTGGGCTTAGTATTATTTTAATTATATTTCAGAGCTTATTATTATCATTTAAATCGTTAATTAAGGTACTTGATAATTTATGTACATATTAATATAATTAGAAATTTTAATTTAAAAAAAATGCAAGTTTGAAAGCCTGACCTTGAGATCTTTCAATAAGAACTGACTGAAAAAAAAATGCTAATTTTAGAATAAGAGAACTTATTAACAGCTCTACCTCCTATGATAACTAATTTACATATATAAAAAAATACATTTTTTAATCACTTACATCAAAAATTATATCTATTGATTATTGTACACATTAATAAAAGTAGTTTCGGCAAAAATAATAAATATAGAAGACAATTGAGATTTAATTTTTACATTTAAAACACAACTATCTATCTCTATAGTTTCATAGAATTTTGCTTCTAGTTATGGTAGTTTTTTCAATATTTTCAGTCTCTATAGTTTAGCAAAATTGAGTAATGTTTGTTACTCAAGCCTTTATAGTTGCAGTGTTTTCAGTATGTTCCGTCCCTATAAGGACTAAAAGCATTGGAAAAATTACAAGAATTAAAACCAAAACCCAATAAACTTAGAGAGAGAGCAATGATTGTGTTTTTCCTAAAATAAATTCCTTAACAAGCTCCTATATTTAGAATATAAGAGAGTACATTAATGTATGAGAAGAAAAACATTTACTTCAACTTTTTTTCATGATGCTCACATTTTGAATCTCTCCTTTTGCAATTCCTTCTATTATTTGTCTCAATTTAAAGCATTGCGAGAAGGGAAAACATAGCTAAAAGGCTCCCCCCCCCCTTACCCCCCAACCCTTCTATAGTGTCACTCAGCATCATCTTTACTGGTGTTTATATATCTTCAACAAAATTAATAACTGGTATCAAATTTGCAGTAAAACACAGTTCAACTCCTCATTCTTTAAATTTTACTAAAGGAAACACTTCTCCAAAAGAATAAGAAAGAACATATAACAATCTGTAAAACACAAATATCCAAGTATAAATAAATAATTTTTAAAATACATGAACTAAATCAAGAATTGAGTGAAACCCTAATCTGCCCCAAACAATATAATTTACAAGCCTACCTGTAACACAACTGCCCAATTCATTTTCCAGGTTGAGATTGATCAGACTGTTCTAGCTAACAAAGAATGTTAATTATTATTATTAACGACCTTGCTGCGAAACTTCCCATATGTAAGAAACATGGTTATGTAGAGATTTGGCAGCCAGCTTAGACTAATTGCAAGGTACTAAAAACCAAACTAGTATTAAACTGGTTAAGACATTAGATCAAGGGTTAATAGTCAAAACTGTAATCGAATCATGACCAAACCGGTCAAGACACTAATTTAAAGGTTTAACGATGCAGTGCAACTGAACGAGTTAACCTGGATTTCTACATCGTTAATTGGCATCAGCAAGAGAGGAGAAGCGATGACGAGAATGAGGAGAATTAGTGTGGAGGAAAGAGGAAAAGGCACCGCTGTGTTGAAGCAAATAAGCAATGAATGATAACCAAGAAGCTGCACAAAGGAACACCACCAAGCCATACACAAGTCCCTTCACTTCTGAGAGGAAGAAGTCCAGCAACATGTATCCATATACCAGTATCACCACCACTGCCACTGTCCATGCCACTTTCTGCAACATTAATTCATGCAAATTCAAATATATGAAACATCTAATTATTCTGTCCCCACACACACACAGAGAGAGAGAGAGAGAGAGAGAGAGAGGGCGATGTACAATGGCACTGGTGGTTCTATTTCCCTCTGTTACGTTACAGCAAAATATATAATATTACGAGGAGAGAAATAGACACATAGGATTGGCGGTTCCCACATACCAGGTGGGACGACTCACCTACCTTACGTGTCTATCTCTTTCTTTGCAACATTATAGCATTGCAATTGAAATCAAATAAGTTCATATTTAAAAAAAAATTTGAGAAAGATTAAGAAAGTGATAAATTGTAAGATTAAGCGAAAAAAATGACCAAAATTGTTAGACGAATGTATATACATTTCAGCTCTACACAATAATGATCCTACCTCCTTACTAGATCAGCACAATGCTACGTACAAGAAGAAAAATAGACATATGAAGTTGGTTGACGGGAAAACGAGATAACTTAATACCCAATAATTAAAAAAGTTAATTTTTACCAAAAAAAAATTAATATCAAATTAATATTAAAAAAATTTCATATGAATAATACATGTTAAAAATTTTAAATCTAAAATGTTAAAATTAGTTTGGCTCAGATCTTACTTTATGATGAGCGCCTAAACTTAACCCACCCCACCGCAAACAATCAAGAAAGTGATAGTTGCAACGTATACATTATCATCACTTTAAAGTGACACAACCACCAAATAGTTGGATGAATATATATATAGATATATATGTGTGTGTATACATAAGTCTCACCTCCACAACAGGTCCAATTCTGAATGTCCCCATGACCTCCTGTTTAGACACCAACGTAAGAAGAGGAATAAGAGCAAAAGGAATCTGAATAGACTGAACCACATTGAGCCACTCATTCAAAGTATCCAAAGATCCTTCAGAAGTATTAAACACAAGAGCCACAATCATGGTCGGAACAATCGCTAAGCTTCTCGTGATCAAAGCTCTTAACCATTTCTTCAAACGCAGCTTCAGAAACCCTTCGGTAATAAACTGTCCTGCATACGTACCAGTAATAGTACTGCTCTGTCCTGCTGCTAGTAACCCTATTCCCCATATATACAATATAGGGAACATCCCTCCGCCGTACTTGTCCTGAAGGAACTCGCCGGCGTTTACGAGACCAATCGTTCCGGCTTGGTCGGTGCAGTAGAAAACCCTAGCGAAGACAGTCATGACTGAGAGGTTGATGAAGAAGGTGATGAGGAGTGCGAGTGAGGACTCGATTGTGTAGTAGTTGAGAGCCTCTTGGACTTGGCCTTTGTTGTGAATGTTGATGTTTCTGGATTGGACCAGGGCTGAGTGGAGGAACACGTTGTGTGGGGTTATCACACAGCCTATCAGTTCCACAGCTTGACGAAGCGTTCTTGAGCTCACTTTTGGGACCAAAATGCCTGCACGAAGAAGAAGTACGAATGTTATTAGTCTTTAAACTTCTTTCCATTGCTTCAAGTCCTTTCAAAATATGAGCTTAAATATGAGTATAAGAACTTAATGGTGACTTACATGTACTCCATTCGATCCAAAATATAAGTATTTTTTAACAATAACCTGCATGCCAATGAAATTTCTATTCCCTTAAAAATATATATTGCCTTTTCTTTTTACCCTTAGTTTCAATTTATGATCATAAGTGAGAAAAGTGTCACAAATTGACATGCATAGGAATTTAGGTTAATAAATACAAGGGGTAAATGGACATTTTTTTTACAATATAATTACTAAGTTACTTATATTTTAAACAAAGATTACTTGGCAGAAAATACTTATATTTTAGACCAGAGGGAGTAAAATACTTTGTTAATCCTTTGTGCTGATTTGTTAAAATTATGATAAGTTGTATAGAGTAGAAGACAAAAAAAAAATTAAAGAAAGAAAGAAAGAAAGACATTAAAATGCACAATGGATGAACTTTAGAAGAAATAAGACTTCACAGTTGGGACTGACATGCAGAAAGGTTAGTCCAACTCATCTTAACTTTACTAACTTGACAATAAAATTAACAGTTATGTTCACATCAGCAAATTTAGCTCCATTAATGATGATAAGAATTAATGTTGTAGACAAATCAAACTTATGGACTTAGAATAATGGGGAAAAAAGTAGAGAGACTAATTAAAAAAAAAAAGCTAAAAGTATATTGAAGGATTATTGATGTGATGAGAGATTTGTATACCGATAAGAAGTTGTTTAGGACTAGGCTTTGTTTCAAGGAACATCCAAGCAAAGGAAAGGGCCATAGTTCCAATGAATATTGCGAAGACACCTTCCAGCTTCCTCACTCCATAGTTCTCTAGGAACAGGAACACAAAACTGTGCTTACAAAGAGACAAGTTTGAATCATGATTAGGGTTTTCTGAAGAAATTATAAGAACTGTACTACTCCCAATTGGCTAGCTAATTAAAGAAAAAAAATTGAGCGAGTTGGGCATTATGAAATATCACAGCAGGCTCCATTATTCAAATTCTCACAAAATATTTAATTGCCCACCTAAATATATACTTCTAGATTACTCCCTTCAGCCTAAATGCACATGACCATTAACGGCATGATATAATATTTAGGAATAATATAATTTTTTGTACCAAAACTTTTTCTCAATTATCAATTTAGTCTCTAAATTTTGACTTAATACAACTCAATTTTTATAGTTGTTGAATTAAGGAATTATAAAGAAATGAGTTGTATCGAGTCAAAAAAAATTGAGTTGTTTCAAGTTCAGAAATTGTAGGGACCAAGTCATTTGAGCCAAAATTCAAAAACTAAATTACTAATTGACATGAAGCACAAGAATCAAAAGTTATATTTTCACTAATAGCTATTAGCTATATATTACCAAATATACACGTATTCAATTAATGTAGAAGTGAGTGAGAAATAGAGTCTATCCATCATATCAATTTTTTTTTTTTTGAAAAAGATTAAGATTATTGATTATCTTTGACTATATTCTTTAATCCACAAAATTCAGTTAAAAATATCATTTATTCATAATCAAACAGAGTATTTATAAAGAAGACCCTCACACCAAAGGAAAAATTATTAAAACCTTTTATGAGTTATGAGGCAAGCAATTCTTACTAACTATATAGAGTAACATTTGTTGATATTTATGAGACTTAAAAATATAATTATAGAAATTTATATTAAAAGTACTATATATATATATATATATAGTACCTCCACACATACATTTAAAATTAAGTATCTGAGAAAACATTTATTAAGAACTAAGAGAATGTGTCACAAACTTATATATATGCACATACCTATCCAAGGCTGTGATTACCACTCCTGCCCAAATAGGTAAAATCCCATGACTTAGAATTTTGATGGCTATGGCACTACCAATAACCTCCTGAATATCTGCAGCTATCAAAGCCATTTCTGCCATCACATACAGCACCAACCTCGCCCATCTTCCATACTCCTCCTGGCACAGCTCCGCCAAGTGCCGCCCGGTCGCCACCCCAAGCCTTGCTGACAACAGCTGTATCAGCAACCCCATGATCGTCGTCCACATCAAAAGCCACAACAATGAGTACCCTCCAATGGCTCCTGCCTGCAAATCTCCCTCCAAATTCCCTGGGTCCAAAAACGCTACGCTCATCAGCAGCCCCGGGCCCGTGAACAGCCACAGCTTCCGCCATGAGAACGGCGGCACCACCATGCCGGAAGAAGAAGAAGAAGAGGACTCCAAGTCAAATATATGCACCTTCACCTTCTCTGCGTGCACAACTTCCTCGTTGTTGTCCTCCGCATGGGAGGTCGCCGACCTTGAAGGCTCCGGTAACCTCCACGGCGGCGGTGATGACAACGGTATTGTCTCGCATTGATGTAGAAATACGTTCTCGTCGGCGTCTTCATCTTCTTTGCGTCGTTGTTCTACTTGTTTATTATCATCATGTCCGAGTTTCTGAAGGTTAGAGCTCATTATTGTCTGGTACGATACAGCATGGATAATAGTAATGTTTCAGGTTTTGATTCTGATTTTGATATTACTCGATTTTTTTTTCTTTTTTGGGAATTTGGAGAAGAAGATGGAAGGAAATGATCAGCAGGACAATATATGGATATGTAAGGGAAAGAGAGAATCCAGGGGATGCACGAGAATTTAGACCTCATGCTATTTTTGAACTGTTTAGAGGATTATATATATACTATATTTATTTGCCATAATTGTTATATTTTCGATGAAGATGTAAATAAATTTGGTGGGATTTTTATTGGTTGGTGGGATCACTTTTAGTTGTGCAGTAATTGAAGATAATGAATGTGATGAACAAAATTAGCATAAGTAGAAGGAATAACTCATTTTAAAGCACACATTTTTTTAAAAAAAATACATATAAATCCTATCGAGTAAACTTATTCATAAATAAATTATATGAAATTTAGAAAACACAGCCAAATCTTTTGAAATTTCAATGTAATTTGAAATTAGCATGCAAAAACAATGATGTCCATATTAAAAATACATTATGTTAATTAAATAATTTACAACTATCACTTCAACTTTTTATAACTGTAATATCAAATTTTTACCTCAAATATTCAAATATTTTAACTATTAGATATGTAAAGTTACAGTTATAAAAAGTTAAAGTGATAGTTGTAAATTAATAATAAAGTAGTTGTAAACAATTAGTATTAAACTTTTTAATAATGTATGATTGCTTTAACTATTAAATATGTGAATTTATTGTTATAAAAAGTTGAAGTGATTGTTGTTAATTATTTGATTGATATAATATATTTTTAATAAAGGCATTAGTATCTTTTGACATTCAAATTACACTTAGGTCTCAAGGGACCTTTTCTAAATTTTCTGAAATTCATTTGTAAATAAATTTGTTTCAAAAGACCTATATGTAATTTTTTCTTTTAAAAATTAATTAAATTAAATTAAAATTTAGTGCAAAATTAAAGAAGTAAAAGTTTACTTGTGAACTGGAAAAAAAAAACCATATATTTATGGAAAACTTGTATAGGGTTTTCCCAATGTGTTAGTTTTGTAGCATTCAAATCTAAATAAATCCTGACTGGTTGAACCAGTGTCATAACTTATTTAATAAAATGTTATGTTCATGACTATTTCAATTGTGATTTTGGCCATTAATTTTTGAACCATTATTTTAACTGATTTAATGACCGGTCCATATATTCAATACCAACCTGATTAGTTTTAAAAAAAATAAGAATAAACTGTTGAAGCAGAGTGAGATTAATTTTTTGCTCAGGATAGAGATAATTATCAAAAGACTTGTATTTGGCATAATTACATATCTTGAGGACTTGAAGAAATTACATATGAGCAATCTTTTTCAGTTCTCAGTGATGGAAGCAAACAAAATTGGGAGAATGATATTAAAGTTTCAAAATAATGAATTTATAACAGTCTTCGAGAAAATTTTAAAAAAATAAGTTGTAAATATTGATTTAAATAGTTATAAATTCAGAAGTTTTAAATACAAATAAAATATTTAAATTTTAAATATAACTCTTTGTTTATAATTAAAATTTTTATTTGTAACTGTTTAGATCAATATTGACAATTTATTTAAAAAAAATTGTTGATGACTTATTTGTTATTCGTAGTATGGGACTTTATGTCAATCTCCCAACAAAATTTGGCGTGCCTGCAAAAAGTACATACATATATAAAATGGATCTTGTGCTAATAATGAATATATAATATAAAGTTTATAACAATTAACACTATAAGTTATAAATTGTACAATTTATTCTTTACATCAGATTAAATGGAAAAAAAACATGTATAAATCTATAAATGTTTGTAGTATTTTTTTCAATTTAATTTTTATTCTTATTAATATTTTTAACCTTTGTACTTTTAATTTCTTAAGAAATTAAAAAATGCCAAAAACTCTCTCATTTTTGTGGCCAATTTTTTTTGTGAGAAGCATTTTTCCGAATACAAATTTCCGCTTACCATTTATTTTTTAAGTTGTCTCATTCTATTTTTCTTCTTTTTTTAATAGAAGATTTAAAATCATAATTCCTCAATTATCCTAAAATGCTCAATCAGCTAATCAGTCAGTGTAACGGTTGGCTGCTTGTCCTCCTTAGTCCTTTCTTCAATTACACTTCCACATTCCAAATGGGGCCCAAGTAATTGAGCATTTATAGTTATACCCCTTTTTGGATGAAATAATCAAAATTTGTATTAGGGTTAAATGATAATTTAGCTCCTAAACTATAGATCCAAAAACATCTAGAACACTAAATTTATTTTTAGCTTAATGTTACTTCTTCAACTTTTGAAAAAAGTACAATATTACCTCTGTTATTAATAAAAATTAACTTTAAACTTAGATAACTAGAAAATTACAGAAAATAACTAAAAATTACACACAAGAACCCTAAAATTACAAGAAAAATTTTACATAATTTTTAAGGTCATATTTTGTTATTCTTTTAGTTAACTAACAATTAAAGTTAACTTTTATTAGTGGTAGGAGTGACATTACACCTTTTTCAAAAATTGAAGTTGAATATTACTAAAAATAAATTTATGGTCCTAGATATTTTTGGATATATAATTTAGATACAATCAATAATTCAGGTGGGCCAGGCTTATTTGAGCCGAATTTAAAATATCATACTTTTTTAAAAAAACTCATACAATTAAGTTAGGCTCTAACTTTTTTCGTGGGGTTTCCAATGGTTGGGCTTATTCCAATCGAGTTTAATGTATCCTACCTTTTTGAAAAAACCTATATTATCAAGCATGTCTCTAATTTTTTTTCAAACAGGTTCGGACTAAGCTGTTGGGTTTAGGCTAAATTTTTTGCTCTAAATTTAGGAACAAATTCTCCTTTTACCCTTTTTATTAAATAAAGAAAAAGGTGAATAGAAGCCTTTGATCGAAGAACCCATTTTTGATTCTACTTGAGTACTCTCACTCAAGCATAAAGACAACTACTCTTTCGAATTTAATATAATAATAAATATGCGAGAAATTCGAGAAAAAGAAACAAGTATCCTTAATTAATTAGTATTAATTGAACAATTTGCAATCATCCAAATTCGTAATCTGCGTCTCTCCACTTGCCTAGTTGTTCGCTGGTGCTTCGAATTTGGTCGATATGCTTGGGTACCATTATCGATGACAGAATACCAAAACGACACAGAACAGAGGAAGAAAAGACAACCATTGTCCCTCAAGTAGCATTGTTTTATGTGATCACTAAACGGATGCTTTGAACTTGCTTATTAAATCCTCGGATACCATTGCATTGTTTTACTTAATCAAGTCATGGTCACTAATTTATTAGGGAGAATAATATCAAAGACATTTTAAAAAATTTATTCACAAATAAGAATCATGATAGAATTATTTGTTGTTAAAATGATAACAAAATTTTTTTCCCTCACAAACGACGACTTGTTAGTTTTTATTTATAAATAATTTTTTTAAAAAAATCTTTGGATAATGTGATTCTCCCTTTAAGGGATCATAATTTTTCCCATACACTCCCTAGATAGTGGGTATAATAAGAAAAATTACATATAAGTCTCGAAGAAGAAAGCTAATTACTTACAAATGTCGTCCGCTTGTAAATAATGAAGTTTTAACATATAAATATAGAGATTTGATTTGTAAATAAATTAAAGAAATAATTAATTTTTTTTATTTAAGACCTGGTTGCAATTCTTCCAATATGATTACTAATAGGGTATCAACATGCAGTAGTATTTACATGTCATCCTATATGATATTTTGCATAGATTAGATAGTTTAAACCTATTGACAAATGATTCCTTAATCTATAATTTTTATTTATCTTGTCATTCGCACTTTATCTGCATATATGGTCCAAGCGATGCCTTCTTCTCTCACCAGTCTCTTTGTTCACTCCCTTCGCACCCTCACCCATTGTTCTCTCTGTACTCTGTCACTGCCTTCTCCGGTGAACACTACTGACGATGATAGCAATGGCAACTTTGATTAAAGTGCACTTCTTTAAAAAAAATAATAGTTAAGTTCCAAAACGATAAATTATTAACAATTAGGTTTCTAGTAAAACTTTTTGAAAAATAACTTGTAAATATCAATTTAAATAATTTTAAACTCAAAAATTCTATTTGCCAATAAGGTAGTTAAGTTCTTTATGTAACCCCTACATTACAACTGGGATTCCTGTCTACAATTATAACCTAACTGTTATTAATTTTTTTTTTTAGAACTTTAATTTCATTCTCTGTTCTAGCTTTGGTCCCAGAAAAAAAAAAAAAGCCCTGCCGCAGATCCTTAAATATAATTTTCATTACGCAAAACAAGTATCAATAGATTTTTAGGCCATTTCTGGGAACTATAGCACACTTGCTAGGACTTCTATATCCAACTAAAGTGGCTATTGTGCATTTGCAAGACAAGCCTACAATTTTTTAGATGACAAGCATAATTTTTTTCAAAAAAACACAATTATTAATCTTTTTAATTTTATCAATGTTTGCTTTTAGTTCGCGTAATTTTTTTTTCAATATTTTTAATTTCTATAGTTTTTGAAAGATCAAATTACGTTTGTTTTTCAAGTCTTTATAATTTTAGTTTTTTCAATGTTTTTTTAATTCTTATAAGAACGAAAAACACTGAAAAAAATATAAAGATTAAAAACAAATAAAACTATAAAAATCAAAGACTATTTTTTTCTTTTTTTTCTTTTTTACATTTGATATTGGCATCTATGACTGATTCCTAACATGCCTAACATATAAGTGAGACTCAAAAGTTGCACAAAAACTTCCGTGTGCAACAAACAAAATGCTTCAGAAAATGGAGGGGATTCCATTGCTCACTAAACCAGAGCTATAACCTATTCCTGCATACAGAGGAGCATAGATGAATGGGTGGATATATATATATATAGAGAGAGAGGAGGAGAGAGAGAGAGGAATAATATTCCTCTG